GGCTCGTCGTTCGCGAATAGCTCATGTTCGGCTCGTGTTCGGCTTATTTGTTAAGAAACGAACACGAACAGTGACTTCACGAACAATTTCAAACACGAGCTTATTTCAAACAAACTAAATCTTAAACGAACCGAACACGAATACAAGTTCTGTTCATTCGTTTTCGATTCGTTTACACCCCTAATTTGGCTTTTATTTTTGTTGCTTGATATTATACTTTTTCTATTTACTATTATTGTTTTTGTTTTTACTGTTTAGTGCTAATTTTATTAAAGTATTTATCCCTGTTATAGATTACTTCAAGTGATAGCATAGATCAGCCACCTCATTGATGTCCTCGTTAGGTTCCAGGTACTTACAAAAGGACAGAAGTTATTCGTCTGCTATATCTCAATAAGCACTAGTGTTGTGTTGATCATCAATACCACCACAACTGCAACCCCTCCCACCTCTTCTATCATGAGCACTGATACACCTAAAATGTAGTGTTTTTATACACAATTTTATACATATTTTTGAGATATTGTATTTTAATGAAGGATATTTGTGTATATTTTTGCATGTACAATCAAAAGGATGAAAAATACTAAAATGAGTAAAAATTGTCAATTTAGAGCAAAAATGAACTGAGGTGCCTAAGGGCCCAAGTCTGACGCCTAAGTGTCAAAGACTCCGCGCCTAAGCGCAGTACCACGCGCTTAAACACCAGAAGTAGTTACTTGATTATATATTTAATTTGAGAGAATTTTTTAAGAGGTGTTTGAAGCAACCCTTGATAAAAACGTAGGAAATAACCCATGGACACGAAAATTCATTCACTTGGCTTTTGAGGATGCAACTTCTAGAATATTCATTGAATTGAGACACATTTTTGAAGAGACACAAAGGCACGGGCACCCCTTGTATTTTTATAAGAAAAGACTAAGATTTTCCAAGAGAGGAGGTCAGCCACTCATCAACTTTACAGCCATCATCCATCTAAGCCGCTGTTGCCGCCACCCATAGTCATCGCCGCCGCCGGCCACCTTTTCTTTTTATTTTGAGTTTTAGCTTGTATTGTGAGTGAATGAAAAGAATTCAAAGGAACTTCAAGACATTTTGTGGAGGGGATTTAAGATAATTTTTATCTTTGCGACTGCACTTGTTTTTAATTTAGATTTCTTGTTTGTGTGCATGATTTCTACTTTTTAAATCATGTGTGGTTGTGTTTTCTCCAAGGATTCTGAGTAGTTTTCTTTATTTTTTTCTTAAAATGATAAGTGATTAAATATTTAAAGGAAGTTGTGTAAATTATTAGGCTTCAATGTTGGAAGAAGTGTGATGATTTAAAAGCTTGCACTTCATTTACTTCTTGATTTGACCAATTATGATGTCAATACATGTTGTGAAAACATGTAAGATCTGAGATGGTATTGTCTCAGTCAACAAATGATTAGAATCGCATATTAATTTCATGAATGAGAATGTAGTTCATGGGGTTGAGTGCAAATAAATAGAGAAATAAACTTTTCAAGGGTATAGAATTAGAGGACTTTAGAGTGACAGACTAAAACCCTCGATTTGAATTATAGTTTTAGGTTTTGATACGAGATGTTAGCCCCCAAATGGTGGGAGAAGAGGAAACTCTATAGTGAGAGCTAGTATCTTTTCTGCCTAGTCAGTCTTCAATTCTATTCAAACTATAGATTAACTAGTGTTCTTTATAGCATCTCTGGTAATAATAAAAATATTATTGCTCATATTTGACACAACACATTTAGTATACTTTCATAATAGAATTTCTATAATTATCATTGATTCATAATAAGGAAAAAAATATTTTATTTATATTGCCTTCATCTTGCAAGTATTTTAGTTAAATTAATTAGTTGCTTACTTTATTTTCAATTATCAAAAATTAAAAAAAAAAGAATCAAACTCTAATTTAGCATCTTAAGTTTATGTAAGAATATATTGCTAAGTAAAATTTTATTATCTAAATCTAGTTCTCCCTTTGGGTTTGATATTTGAGACTTAATCAGAAAGTTCTATATTACTTGATAATGATATGTATACATGCGTAGTATCCCATATTGAAATATTATAACTACATTCTTATTTGCTTCATGGTGAAAGATTTACCCAGTTTTTGCTTTGGATCAAATTTTTGCCTTTGTTGCAAATTAAGAATAACTATTAAGAAAATTAATCTTATAACCACATACATCACATTTAACATCTTTATATATAGAAACTTGGTATCAAGCACTCATCCACTACCTCCATCCTCAGATGAGTCGAACCCCTCTGTTCCTGTTACTTTGAGGTAGGACATCTTTGACCAAATATATATTGAGTCACAGGGAGATTCTTAAGTTTTTTTTTTTTATATTATAAGAAGTTGAATGATCTTTTCAATACTTTATCTAACTTATATTTCTATTTCAATTAGTTCTACTCCCCAAGTAACCAATCACACATAACACGAAGATCATTAGGATTAGATACTTTTCTCTTTATCACTTCTAAAGAATACCCTGATCGTGATTCGAGGCATGTGGTTTATGGAGTTCTAGGTAGAATCAGATAATTTCTATTAGAATTATAACTGCAAGTTATTTTGTTATACTAATAAATATTATATAATTCTTATTTTGCAAAGGTAGTTCCACTGACTAACTGTCAGAGCATCACCAGCAGATTCATCATATTTTTATATTCATGCCACACATCGACTAGGTGATATGTTCACGATAGCCCATAAGAAGAGGGAGCAACCTAGCTGGATTAGGAATGAGATTAGGGTGTAGTTGATCAAATCACGGGCTTTTTTTATTATCAAAACAAGAGGGAAATAAATTATCAGAACAAGAAGACCGAGGGAGCTAGGGGCGCCGCTATCCACATTAGAGGATCAATCCTGCAAAGAGACAACTGCAAAAAGTTGGTAAGATATACTAATTACTTTACATTTTAATTATGTAATTATCCTATGCATATTATTTTCTTATGTCCACAAACTTAGGAGTTTGGTCGATTGCCTATTACTGCGAAGTTGCATGTCTGGGCACATCAGCACGAAAGGACGCAATAATAGGTTTCCGACCTTTCTCGATATGTCAATGTAAGTAAGAAACTTTAACTTTATATAATTTTCTTACATTAAAATGTAAAATATCAATTAATCCTTAGTTTTAATTGTATAATAGAAATATAAGAACATTCGAGACACATAATGCTAGAGGCAGATCTAGAGCTCGACAACCGCTAGGAGTAGTGGTAGTTAGTCTACCACTAATCAGCCTAATTTTGAGATGTGGTGTCAGGTGATAGGGAATAAGAAAGTGTATAACCTGAGCACAAAGGACATTGCATTTATGACTGAGCGCTCCTAAGCTGCTCAAGGTGGTCTGATGTCATCATCAACAAAGAATGATGAACTTGCTCGATATGTCACTGTTATGACTGAGGAGCTCTGTCAATTACATGAGGGGTAGCAGAGAGTTAAGCCCATTGTAGCATGAACGAAGCAAATTGTAGATCGCATGGAAAGCGACTTCTAAGTTCAGCGGATGAGAATGAGTATGCTGATAAGTGATAATGCCCCGTAAAGGTTTTGATATTTTTTTCTTGTTTAATATTTAGACATTGTCCTATATATATATATATATATATATATATGATTATATATTTTGTTTGATTGACACTTTTATAAATTTTGAGAAATATGCGTTAAATTCTATTTGTTTTCATTGTCGATACATGTTTGTACAATATGTTTTATGTTTAGCTGGTAAATATTTGTGATATTTTTTATGTATATGTTATAAAAATCTGATTGTTCTATTATATTTTTTGAATTTTGATATAAGCTTGCATCTGCGTTGCGTTGGAATTCTCATCACTGATACTTTCAGAAAATTCCGATGTAAATCCATCAATCTAGTAGAAACGATGGAAGCAAATAATGATACAAGTTTACGCCTGAAAATGGTAGGCGCAAATGAAATTAATGTCGGCATGAGTCATGTGAAAACTGACTAATGTCGACAATATCAGACATAAATATCAAACACAATTTGTTTGGCTCGACCATGGTGGACACTAATTGTATTTGTGATGCCCATTTTTCTTACCATTCCAAGAAAAATCCACCACTAACATTGGTTTGTGTCAGATTTTTGGCAAATTAGCACCATAATTTGCTTATTATAATTTGACAAAATCATGTAGCTGCACTTCTATTTGTATGTATGGTGGATATTTTTCTTAAGTTAAAACTTACTTATTTTCTATCATTGAGAATGGTTTAGCACATAATAATTT